ACTTTCATTTACTTGTTATCTGTTAACTAACTTTGATTTTGATAGTAGAGAGCGACAGCCGACGCATGGCCGACTCTGGGAAGCACATGCACATGTATCAGAATTTTTCTTACCTTGTGTAGGGTTTGGGTGACGTTTGAGGCCTGAACATACAGACCAACAAATTTTAGCTATTCCAAAAATATTGAAGACAACTTGGACAAAGACGAGATTAGCACAGTATTTTTACACGCCCATGCGTCAAAATTTGTTTGTGAACACAATAGAGACTACAGTCTTTAATTGATTTGAATGAAATTTGGTGTGATCGTTTATATTGGTAAGATCTTGGTCAATTTCAAATTTGACGATCTTTCGATGAACGGTTTTTGAGTTTGAATGTACCGAGGTTATTGACTTGACTAGAAACTGTCTGATGATTGGCCCTGATCCATCTGGCATTGCTGTCGCTCCGGAGACATGAAAACACGGATATATGAAAACACCTTGCATTTTGTACAGAAAGCAGACGCCGCACCGCAAACAGTACTCTGTATAAACAAGGCTTTAGGACTTATATCTTGGTTGAATTATTTCTTGCGCTTATTCTTTTATTTCATTCAAGGCATGTTAATATTACACTATCGTTTGTTTCAGAACATCAAATAGTGAATTTATTAGAGACGGTGACTATATTAATAAATGATATGAAATCACATCACATTATTAACAGTAAAACAGTACAGAGTCTTTATCATGGTAGGTACATGTATTCTCGGTAGGAAAAATTCTTTGGCCCCTGTTGATTCATAGGATCGCCACTGGAAGCGTGGGTACCTTCTATGGCCAAAATCAACTAGTTACTATGAAATGATGTATTGGAACATTGTTATAAGTTTTAACAACAGAATTCCAAATCTTATTTCCGTAGAGAAATGCCATTGTAATGTCTGTTAATGGACACAAAGAAAACCTATAAGAACTTTTCTGATACAATAACCACCAATTTTTCTAGTTATAAAGATGCTAGGTAATCAAGATGAAGTTGATAATACAATAACATCAGTTAGCTTACAATATATACTGACTATACTAAATCATAAAACAGATCTGGGACATCTTGGTGGTAAGTTCTATTCAAATATCAATTCCTCCTTATAGAATCATTAAAAAAATTTAAGTTTCCATTATATACGTTTTCTTTGAGCACCCTATGCACATCACCTTACACTCTTGATCCGTATAATCTCAATTTTCTCTGTTTTCTAGTGTCACCAATGTTAACACAGAATAATGATTTTATGATGAAACTAGAAGAATGTTTATATGTTTCGTCCTGGGACATACGAAATAAATCAATCTTTATTATAACTTGGTTGGCCATGTCAAATCAACATATTAATGTAAGTATCAACATTAACTCTGAAGAAAAACAAAGATAGCTTGCGTTGCAAGGTAACATACGCCCACTGGCAGCTGTCAGAAATAATAAAACAGTCTTTAGTGACTAAAGTACGAATTTTCTCATATTGAAGAAATTATTTATGCTGAATAATTCCACAAAATTCTTTACAAAGTCAAGGGCAATAACTCAAAAACCGTTCATCAAAATTGCATCAAGTTAGAACTTGTCCGAGATCTTATCAATTCCAATGATCACAACAAGTTTCATCAGAATCGGTTGAAAACTGTAGCGTCAATCCTGCTCACAAACTATTTTTAGCAAATTTCGACGCATTTTAACAAAGTCAAGGGCAATAATTCAAAAACCGTTCATCGAAACTGCGTCAAGTTAGAACTTGTCCGAGATCTTATCAATTCCAATGATCACACCAAGTTTCATCAGAATCGGTTGAAAACTGTAGTTTCAATCCTGCTCACGAACTATTTTTAACAAATTTTGACGCGTTTTTTCAAAGTCAAGGGCAATAACTCAAAAACCGTTCATTGAAAATGCGTCAAATTAGAACTTGTCCGAGATCTTATCAATTCCAATGATCACACCAAGTTTCATCAGAATCGGTTGAAAACTGTAACGACAATCCTGCTCACAAACTATTTTTAACAAATTTCAACACGTTTTAACAAAGTCAAGGGCAATAACTCAAAAACCGTTCACAAAAATGCGTCTAGTTAGAACTTGTCCGAGATCTTATCAATTCCAATGATCACACCAAGTTTCATCAGAACCGCTTGAAAACTGAAGCTACAATCCTGCTCACGAACTATTTTTAACAAATTTCAACACTTTTTAACAAAGTCAAGGGCAATAACTCAAAAACTTTTCATCGAAAATGCGTCAAGTTAGAACTTGTCCGAGATCTTATGAATTCCAATGATCACACCAAGTTTCATCAGAATCGGATGAAAACTGTAGCTTCAATCCTGCTCACAAACTATTTTTAACAAATTTTGATGTGTTTTTACAAAGTCAAGGGCAATAACTCAAAAACCGTTCACCGAAAATGTGTCATGTTAGAACTTGTCCGAGATCTTATCAATTCCAATGATCACACCAAGTTTCATCAGAATCGGTTGAAAACTGTAGCTTCAATCCTGCTCACGAACAATTTTTATCAAATTTTGACGCGTTTTAACAAAGTCAAGGGCAATAACTCAAAAACCGTTCATCGAAAATGCGTCATGTTAGAACTTGTCCGAGATCTTATCAATTCCAATGATCACACCATGTTTCTTCAGAATCGGTTGAAAACTGTAGATTCAATCCTGCTCACGAACTATTTTTAACAAATTTCGACGCGTTTTAACAAAGTCAAGGGCAATAACTCAAAAATCGTTCATCGAAAATGCGTCAAGTTAGAACTTGTCCGAGATCTTATCAATTCCAATGATCACGCCAAGTTTCATCAGAATCGGTTGAAAACTGTAGCTTCAATCCTGCTCACAAACTATTTTTGACAAATTTCTACGCGTTTTAACAAAGTCAAGGGCAATAACTCAAAAACCGTTCATCGAAAATGCGTCAAGTTAGAACTTGTCCGAGATCTATCAATTCCAATGATCACACCAAGTTTCATCAGAATTGGTTGAAAACTGTAGCTTCAATCCTGCTCACG